TGTTTGCGAAGCTGGTGCGACGTTAACTCGAAACTGAGGACGGCAATTTCCTTTGTATCAAAAAAGTCTATTTCTAAAGACAAATTAAGAAAATTAAAATTTTCTTTAAATAAATTTGATATATTTCTAGATATTCGTGAAAATTTGTATATATACTTTATGAAACTTTAATTAAAAAGCTACTTTAATTAAAAAGTTTTATTTCAAATCTTAATGCATTAAATTCTAAAAATACCAAAAACTAAGAGATGTAATTTATTTGTTTATCAAATATTTATATGAAATAATGTATTTTATTTTAAAAATTTCAGTCTTAAACTTTATATGGAAAATTAATATCATCATCATTAATTATAATTAAGTTGAAAAATTTATTCGAGTTAAAATAATGAATTTTCCTGAATTATTGAATGAAGCATACAATTATTTTCATTAAGTTATATATGACAAAAAATTTTTATTCGAATCGATATTTTCTATCTGCATGTGTTAAAACATTGATCAAACAAAATTTGACTTCATTAATAATTAAAGTTTAAATTTATAAGTTTTAATATTTTGAAATCTATATCTTTTTAGTTCGATAAGTTTTATCATCGGTTATAAAAATAAGTCAATCGATACATTTACTAATGAATTATTAAACTGCATTTATTAAGATTTAAAAATTATAAAAACTTGAAGGTAATACAATAAAACATTTATGCAAAATATTTTTTTATTAAAAAAGATCTAACATTACATCCAACACAGAATAATAGTTATGAAACAGAATTTTTTTTTTTTTTTTTTTTTTGAATACTTTAAGAAACTTGCTAATGCATAAAATAAAATATATAATCTTTGAGATATAGATTCGTGATAGAAGACTAACAATTCTAAATCGATGCATTAAAATTTACTTGTATATTTATCAATAGTTACATTATTTATGTGATTCTAGAAGGTGACAGATGATGAAACAGACAACAGAGTGAATCGAATCCAAGATAAAATCGCAATGATATAGATAAAAAAAGTATAGTTATTTCCGTCGCACTCTAAATTTTCAAATCAATAAATGAAACACATCATAATTCCATAGCGATTAAACTTTTCTAAATCATTAGACTACCATCTATGATTACTGATGACATCCAATTTGCTAATACGTATATTTTTATTTAGAAATTATAGACAATTAATTGTGGAATGTATGATGTAGTAAAATTGTTCTTTATTTGTATCATCAATCCAATGATATTTCAAACATAAAAATCAGTTCAATAAAATTAATAAAATTTATATAAATATTAAAAGTCAAGGAAAAATAATGGTAACATATTTAAAGACAATTTATTGTAATATAATTCTGAGCTCAATAATTAATTTATTCGAAAAATGTAAGACTTTTTTCATCTTTATTAATATTTTAGATATTCTTCAAATATTCAATCCTAAAATACAAAAATTGACTATAACTCTTGACTCTTTCTATGATATTTAAATAAAATAAAAAATCAACCAAAATAATCAATTTGCAAATTTTCATCGAATTATCGTCAAATTGTATGTTCTTAAAATAATTTCAATATAAAATCTAGAAATAATATCTAGAAATATCTAGAAAATAGTTCAAGATCATCGATATCGAAATAATGTTACGTGTCCTTCGCGCGTACTACATATTTTGAAGATCATGCGTGTCCGTGAGCATACTCGTGTAACACGCGAGTATGCATCGCAGTAGTACCAGCCGATGGTTACACGGCGACTACGTCGCCATGGAAAAAAGGAATAAAGAAGAAAAGAGAAGCGC